TTATCCTTTTGTGGTCTTTGATGGAGTTGAAGACAGATAGTTATGGTTATAGTTTTCCTTAGTTAGGCTTAAAGATAAGTTACCTATAGTACTTTAGACTCACAAATATAGGATAGATGATAGAATAGTTTCTTTTAATCTTGCTAAATGTTAATGGACTAAGCATTGTTAACTGTGATTCTTATTTGATAACTGTTGTGTTATATATTTTGCTATGTTAAGGTTAAAACCCTTCTTTTTATTCAGACAGAAAACAGGAGATTATGGGAGATGCCATTATGTATATATGTTTCTCATACTGGTTAATGAATAAAGCACTGTTGGCCAATAGGAAAGGAAGATAGGAGGGACTAGGAGATGAGGAGGAAAGAGGAAGTAGTAAGGAGGAGTCAAGAAGGAGAGTCAGGAGAAGGCAGAACTGCCAGCTGCCTCTCGCTGGTAAGGCCATGTGGAAATACGTAGAAATGGGTTAATAATTAAGACGGAGCTAGCCGACAAGAAACTAGTAATGGGCCAACAGAATTATATCAAATATAGAGTCTCTGTGTGTTATTTGTGGCTGGCTCAGCTGGACAAGACCAGGGGGGCAGGAGGGAAAACCTTACTCCTTACAGGCAGGTCTTCATGGACTGACCTATAAGTAAACTTTGTTGTAGAATATTTGTTAAGATTTCTTACATTAGTTACACAGCATAAGAGAATGTAACACTTTGTATTATTTGTGTTTTGTTATTTATTTTTACTATGTTGTAGAATATTATTTTAAGATTTGTTACATTTGTTTATGCTGTGGAACATTTGTATTGATGCAAAGATGTGTTGTGTTATTTGCTTAACTCTGTGAAACTGTGTAACTCTGACTGTCTAAAGCACCTATTAGTCTAGTAAAGATTTGAACAATCAATAGTTTGGCAGAGAGATTACATGGGAGGAGAAATCTGAGAAGAACAATGAAAGAGAAAGGGAGGAGAGGAGGACTCCAATGGACAACCATACAGCCACATAGGCAGACATGGAATAAAAAGGAAAGAAAAGATATACAGAGATAGAGAAAGGTAAAAACTCAGAGGCAAAAGGTAAATGGGATCATTTAAAGTGAGGAGAGGAAGGCAAGAAACTATCCAAGCTCAAGTAAGGCATTTATAAGAAACAATAAGCCTCTGTGTCTGATTTGTTCTGAAGTTGGGAGATACGTCCCACAAAAGAGCAAAAATATAACAAACAAACAACAACAGAATCTAATTTAAACAAGTAAATTTTTCTAGAGAGGAAATAAAAAAAAAAAAAAAAGCTGGTGAGATTGTTCTGTGAGTAAGGCAGCTTGGCACCAAAACTAAATATCTGAGTTTGATATCTAGAATTCATATGGTGGAAGAAGGGAATAAATTGCAGTAAGTTGTCCTTTTACCTTCACATGTATGGTGTAGTATAACCTAACAAATAAATAATGCATATGTCATAAATGGTAAGTGAGGGTTGATAAAAGAAACTCATTTATTGTCTTCTACTCTTTTGGGAATGCTCTTTTCAATTAGGTATTTGGAAACTATGGGAGTTCATTAATATTATGCATAATATCCTTATTAAGATCTTCATATTAGAGTTTTCATAAAAATTGAATCATATGCTCTTCAAGGAAAGCATGAGATCAAGTCTCAACCTTCAGAGTCATCAAAATAATCAGATGATAAAATGAAAACCATAACAAGACTTAATTTTCAAATAAACTACATATACATGAATGAAAATAACTTATAATTTTGCAAACCTATAAGGTTCTAATAAACATTTCCATTTTTCCTGTTTAATACATTTAGATTGCAAGCAATTTTGTAAATGTAACGTGAACAACATCAGCATTTTTAGTACTTCATTTTTAACACATGTGTATGAGTGTCTGTAACAAGTGATACAGTTCATGCAGAGATCAGAAAAGGGTGTTGAAGAACCAGGAGATAAAGTTACATATATTTGTGAACTACCCTTTTTTTGGTCTGTTCCACACCCAGGATCTCTGCAAGAGCATCAGGAGCTGTTAATTTCTGATGCCCTTCATCAGAAAATTTTAAATAATTGTTTAAATTGTTTATAAATTGTCTGTGTGTTTGTGTGTGTGTGTGTGTGTGGGTGTGTGTGTGTGTGTGTGTGTGTGTGTGTGTGTGTGTGTGTGTGTGTGTCTGTGGCTTATGCCACACTTGCAGATGTTAATATTCTAATAACATGTAGATTTGAATACAAGTCAGGATTGGTGACATGACTTTTCCTACTCAGCCATCCTTTCTGTTCCATTTTTAGGATTAATTTTGGGGATGCTATGATTTTCATGAGGAGTATTTAATTCTTTCTGATCCATTTGGAGTTATTTAATGTTGAGAGATAGCAGGCAGTTCTACAACAGCATTCATTAACATGGATAATTCAGTCCCCCCACCAAAAAAAAAAAAAAAAAAATACCTGACAGCATCTCTAGATACTATTCATTGTTGCAGCTTTTGTGGAGTGTGTTGCTATTATCCTCTTTGTGGACAGAGTACAGAAACTCAGATAGATACTCTGTCATGGAAAGGACAACTAAAGAATTGCCTAGCCTAAGATTTTAAGAGTTTTAAATCCTGGCTTTACAGAAAGAAATGTGTAAAAGGGTCAGGTTTATTAGAAACCATTAATTTCAAAAAAAAAAATTAACACCAAATATTGAAGTGATTACACAGAAAGCATTGTATTCATGTTACTGGTAAGGAGTTGCCAATATGGAGGATTATGTACTTGATTTTTAAAGCATTTAGTTTGCTCTTTTATAATAGCAAATTACAAAATATAATTATATAAAATTATGTAGTAAGAATAAAGAGCAAATGACAGAAATAATAGAGATTAAGTTCCAGTAGTTAAAATACTTTTGTTAGACTGACTGTAAAGTTGCAAATTGCAGCAAATAAAGAACACTGACTTTGATGCATTCTTTTACACATGTCTTGGTAGAGTGGAACATTAGTGAAGAGATGAAAGCAGTGACCAGGGATCTTTTAAAAAATTATCTTGAAACAACTCACTAATGGTAGATCTTGTTTGCAAAACTTCCTATATGGTTTGATATGATTTGTATCAATATTAATATTAGAAATGCCAGTCTGATACTCTATGTATCAACTAATACTAATGAGCACACCATTTAAACTGAATGTGTCTACAGAGCATCTTAGGAGTCTTTTTCACATAATGAATTCTTTGATAAAGGGAAGTGGAGGGATAATTCTGGCTTATTGCAGTTAATTTACTACCTGTGTAACATAATTGTTTTGGCTGAAATTTGTATTCTATAAGAACAAGAAGTCAGTTAAAGGTAACTGCAAGAAAACTTTGCACTTCAATAGAAGAGGTAGAAAATGCTTCTTCAGGTATCCTATGGAAATTACTTAATGACATTTCTTCCCTGCTGAATATGTTCTCTAAGTTAGAATATTTAAACCATATAATGACACATCTTTATAAATGTAAAAACTACCAAACACAATCACTTAAATATGTAGAATTTCATTTAAATAAGTCAGTCAACAATTTTTTTTTATAAAGTATTTAACACTTCATTGTAGAAACATAGGCAAAATGACTATTATAACCAAAATGAAAAATACTGTTCAATTTAAAAAAATGTACTTAAACAAGAACCTGAAAAAGTTTATGGTATGCATAACATTGTTCAAGCAAATCACACAAGTATTACATAAACCAATATTCTATAAAGGCCTCCGTATGGCAAAGTTTAGAAATAGGTAGTATGCATGCACATAGTACAACAAAAATTTCTTTATAAAACAGCAGTTTTTAATGCTTGTACAAAGGGAAAGAGAGCAACCACAAACATATTTCATCTGTTAGATTAATACATTATGACAGCTAAAAGTCAGTCATGTCTATTAGAGGGACAAAAATCCCCCACAGCTTATGAATAAACCTTTTGTGCCTTTAAAGATATTCGTATAAAAATGTTATCTTTTTATACAACTTAAATAAACCATATTTGTTACAATCAATATTTGAAATCAAAAAAATGAATGGGTCTTTTTGTTTTGCATAACCAAAGAGAAATAAAATTATCAATGCTAATGGCACAGAGAATCTCTCCATCTGGCATTATGACAGGTTATTCTTATACTTCTTGATGCCCTTGAATCATAGTTGAAGTGGGAGAACAATTAATTAGTCATATCATATCTTGAAAAATTTACCAATTACTTTATACAAGGAAAACACTCTTTGGATTAGCAAAGAGAGTGTATTCATAAAACTGAAATTTCCCATGTAGTTGCATACGGTTTCCTTGTGTTCAGTGTCATTAAAGTGATATCCATCCAGGAAATGCACCGTTGGCTGGCTGTGTGTCTCAGGACTGAGGAATAAAACTTCCTATCCCACAGCAAGAGCTATTACTCCTGTTCTGGTTATAGGTTTGCTATATTCTATTAACCTAAATATCACTATTGTTTCAGGGGGGTATATGTTTTGTATATCCTACATAGAGCCTGCAAACTTTATTGGAAAGTAAGTCATTTGTATTCATGCAAATTAATATTGTATTTTTAATTTTCTGTCTCATAAATGCTAGTTATTCTTTTGTCATCTGAGATTAATTTCAAGATGGTGAACTTTTAAGAGATATATACTCTCAGCCAAGTTTCAATTTATGGTTATGAGTTTAGAGAAGAGAGTCTGTCCTCTTAATAGAAGAGAAATATAGTGTCATAGTATTACAGTACTCAGACAACAGAATGAGAAAAATGGAGAGTAGTTCGATGATTATAGAGAACTAAAGATTCTTATAAAATAGATTGCTCATATTAACTCTACAAAGGAATAATTATCTTTAATTTTAACAAATTCAAAGGTGTGTCATATCAGCAGCATTATTGTAAGTTTTAGTGTAGTGCAGTTATTTTTCATAAAAATACCATAAAAATGGTGAATCAATATTCATTAGCAAAAAATAAAATAAAATAAGACCAGAAAATAATTAACCAGGAAAAAGATAAGGAGATAATGCTGATGCTAAAACAAGTATAATACTGTTGTAACATACAAAAGTAACCCCTATATTTTATATATTTATACAGCATAGAAAAAATGTTCTTCATTATGCCACTGTCTCTCTGATGCCAATTTCAATTTTCTTTGGGAGCAGTTCTTTCCGTTCATCAACACTTCCTAAAGAGTTTCGACAGTTCTGTCCATCCATATACAATTTTGCGTACACTGGGTTAGAGTAATTTGTTGGCTGAAGGAGAAAGAAAATAAGTCTAATTATTCTGTGTCATTGACCACATCAATTATTTTGCAGAATGCCTATTTTTATGACGGCTCGTAACTTAAATTACATTTTCATAGATTTTAGTCTATTTTAATTTAGAAATATTACTATATCTTTAAGGTAACTTGGGAGCCAAAAAGGAACTTTGGTATAATACTAAAAGCCATTATGTACTGGTGAAAGTTTTCACTATTATTGCCTTACTTTAAAAATGTTAAATCTAATTGTCATAATTCAAGGATATTTGGCCTTTTACCTCTCGTCACCACCTCTGACTTCTGGTGTAACTCCACAGATGGAACAGGAATTAGGGATGCAAAAATCATCTAACTAGTTTCCTTTCCTAATTTTTCAATGTGAATTAAACATAGTAAATTATGATAAGCCAAAGTTCCAAAATCCATCATGGAGGCTCTTTTAAAATAAAGACAGCATTTTTGCTTCCAACAACTTGCATGTACACACTATTGGAAATACATCTATAGTTTACCAAATAATGTTGACTTTACAGTCACCTGAGGTTTCAGAGGTATATTTGCCTTTGAAGCAAAATCAAGAATAACATAAGCAGGTTCTTTCATTTCATAATGACATACTATATTCATTATTAAAGAAAATTTGTTTGTTGTTTGTTTGTGTGTTTGTTTGTTTTTCAAGACAAGGATTCTCTGTATTTCTTTGGAGCCTGTCCTGAAACTAGCTCTGTAGACCAGGCTGGCCTGGTTCCATCTGTCTTACCTCCTGAGTGCTGGGATTAAAAGCATATGCTACCAACTTAACACAACAAAATACCATTTTGTTTTTATTTTAATTGATGCTTTGGTTCTATTTGAATTTTGTTTTCTTTCTTTCTTTTTAAGAAGTATCTTAAACTTAGTTACATCAAGGAAACATGTACTCATAGCATGCAGAGGAGACACTGTAAGACAGACAGTGAAAATGAAAAGGAGAAAGTGGGGTGGGGTGGGGGGGATCTGGAAAACCATAATCTATTTTTCTGCATAAAATGAGCTTTGTGACTATGGACAGAAAAGCTTTTTCTGAACTCAGTAACTAAATGTTAAAAAATAAGATAGACTTATTAGACCATCTCTAATATAATGACACATTTTAGGTATATTTTAACTTAGCTTCATACTTATAATCTACATACATATCTATAATTAAAGCAAATTCATTTAAATCAATTCACTTTAAATTTCTCTTCATAAGTCTGGCTTTCTATACAATTTAAAACTTTTCCAAAACCACAGAGTAAGTACTATCTACTTAACAACTGGCCATAACTGGTAGTATGTTTTATAAAAATTCTTGTATGAAAAGAACACAATGCAAATGTCTGAGATTTTAATATGTTTTGCAAAAAACTTGTTAACTAAAATCATGATAATGGCAAGTTCTGTCCAAGTCCAACACAGCTCTGCGAATGGTGAGGATTTTCAATGGGATGAGAAGGAAAGAATAGGTTGTTTATCTCACCCCAGAAGTTAGTGGTCCTTTCAAATCAGAGTTTAGGTAGATGGGCGGTGCTGTGTGTGGGAGCTTGAAAGCACTGGACCCTCCCCCTATGTATCTGGACTGTACATAAACAGAAAATTTTATCTCATCTAATGTCATTGTAACTTTTTTCAATAATACAATACATAACGTAAGTCACACAATTAATATAAAATACTCTTTAACCCTAGGCCAAATCAGGAGGCTTTTGTCAGCACGCAGAACTTGAGATAATTAGCTCAAAGAGAAAAATTCATTAAGGTCCAGTTTTACGATATGTGTTTTGTATGAATCATGTCCATGTCTATTTATCTTAGTAAACCAGCTAAGTTTTTTACATTGAAAATTTAGAATTTAGACAGTTGTGATTCCTGAAGATTTAGCTATCCTATCTTATTCATGAACATTTGAAAAGATAGAAATAAAAAAGGGAATATATTTTAACCAATCTTTTTAACCTAATATGTGTTAAAATGAGATTTTGGAAAAGTCTCTAACATTAAATGAGGACAATTTGGTCCTGTAATGCTTGTCCACAAATGTCTAATATCAAAATTTTAAAAAAAAATAATTGTAGGACTTGAAGTTTGAATTAAGAACCAATCATTTTTGTCTTAATTTATCACAGATTTGAATAAGAAAATCCAAGTAATGTTGAAATGAATTCTGACAAAAATCTACAAATATTCCTATCTGTGTCTTTCTAATGATTCTAGCCTCAGTTTTGTTTTATCTATTTTACTAAGGATACCAGTCCTTTTGATCCTAAGATATCAAAGAACTAGCAGTTTTATTCACATTCAATATAACAGAACTGAGCATTTCACAAAACTATGTGGGCCACATAATTCACATTTGAGTATATAAAATATCCAGGACACAATTTGCTCAGTTATTATGACTGCTATGGACTGGCTTTCTGCAATTGTTAATCTATCAGTTATCTGTATTTACCTTTCATGCAACAATTCATAGTTAGGTCTCTAACATTGCGAACGGAGTGGAAATAAATTGTTAATTGGTATCTTCTACAATTTTAGCCATTCTATCAGCTACTTGGTAATCCTACTTTTACTGAGTGCTAAGTGAAATTGTATGAGTACATTGAAATTATATGTGAAGAACCTGAAATATGGTTTTGTTTTCATAAAGTAAGTGAGTGAATATTTCAGTGAGCTATATTCTCTTTATGTTTAAGTAATTGTATGAATTCAATTGCTAGGAATCAGAATAACGGGAATTTTAGAAATTTCTATGAAAAGATGAGGTGTGCATTTTCATGAGTTCGTGTTACACAATGGACACCTTTCTTCATTATAACTGTTGGAAGGATGCCAGAAGTCTATGTGGTAAGATGGCTTTCATTTACATGGATAAATTCCCAAGTGAGACAAATACACATGATCTTTTTTTCAATATCAAGTACAACAGAGTACTTATTACATGAAAATTCAAAATAAGAGTTCACTAATTAATAACAAATAAAATTAGTCCCAATGAAAATGGTTATAATATCTGTACATTTCATCCATATAGTAATTGCTGATTTTTATCATATAGGATACTAATTTCAGACTTAGAAAATCCATTCCTAGGCTCAAAAGTAGATTCCCCTGGAAGGGAATAAACTACAGAAATAGGAGAAAAGTCACTTAAATGAATTATTGTTTTTTGTGATTATACTATAAATTACAGTTTGGACAAGTGTCTCTAATAACTTAGAAGATGGATAATAGAAATAAGGGCTCAGAAAGAAACTACACTTTTCAACCAAACACTATTGTGATGATGATTATTTTGAAATTGAACTAATGAACTATCTCATAACAAAAAATGAAGTAAATATTATGCTCTATATAGTGGGATGCTAGCACTGGACACAATTTAAGTTATTATACTAAATAAAGTTGTGTTACATTTTTCTAAAGTACACAATATTAACTAGCATATTCCAGTGAATGTTATTCATCAAGTGTTTTACTTTAGAACAGCTTAGATAACACAATATATCCTAAAATATTGTTTAGATATTACAAATGAATGATTAGATTCAGAACTTTTCAGGGAGTTTTCAAGAATGTTTGTATTCTCTGCTCATGATTTCAAGACATAGTACCTTTACTGGATCGATCATGAAACTTGGTTCTAAAAGACTCCCATCACTGTGGTCGTGATCCACTTCATACATATTGTATGATGGATTACCCATTTCTACATTTATTCCTCCATTGATGATAGGCTGTCTTCTGATTGTCTTTGTCCTACAATATGTGAAGATAAATTTAAGTATCAATTGTACTGGTATCACAATTTAAGTTCTATACTATTAAAATAGTTAAGAATCTGATGACATGGTACAACAGATAAATTATGAATAAAATACAATTGATACAATTTTAATAACTGAGATTTTTAAAATTACAAGGAACATAAATATCATAATTCGACCATTATTTTCAATGATTATTTGAGGTAAAATTCTCTTGACTACAATCTCAAATTAACAGAAAATTCACAATTCAAGTATAAATTAAGTTACAAATATTTCCTCTTGTGTGAAAATTAACCATATTATAAAGAAACTTTGCAATATTTTGTATATAACCTCAAACTCAATGGCTAGAATACTAATTGACAAATTCTCATGTACCAGACTAATCTACGTTAATACAGCTACACAGTTATATAAAATGAAACACCACCATTTTTGGGAAGATAAAGTAAATAAATGCACAATATCTGTTAAAAGTATAATTTATTACACACTTGCATAGTAAATTATAGACTGATATCAATAATTACATAAAAGAAAATATATTTCCTTTACTCAAGGATAGATAATTATAAATGTAAAATTCTACATAATTTGTCAATGATATGCCTATGTTGGTTTTCATAAAACTATACACATGTAGTGATTCTGTCAGCATGATATGAAGGATTAGGTATGTAAATTATGATTTTTAATGAGAAATAGTTTTGCAATTGGAATGATTATTCCTATTTTCTATGAAAAATAACATAATATCTACCACTTTTAAATGGCTCAGTCACTGCAGGTGATTCCAGAGCATGCCATCTTACCTTCTTTTTCTCTTACAAAGCACTAAACCAATCACTAAGGTGGTTACCAAGGTCACCAAGAGGACAAGAGGCACAATGATAGCAATGCTCCCTGGGAAAAAATGATTCATAGAAGATCAAATAAAAAACGGTATAAAGCTTTATATAGCTAAGCTATCACACTAAATGATTTCATCACTATAAATTAAAATAAATCATGGAACAAATGTCTCTATTGTGAGGTAATTATTATTTTATTACAAACATCCTAACAAAGAGTTTGTTTTCTGGAATACCTTGTTAGATATCTTTTGTTTACATATTGCATTCACAGACCAGATATTTAGAGATAGAAACTTCAAGATTTTGAATTACTTATAACCATCATATTTATGAACATGCAATGATGAAAATATACATTACAAGTCAATGATGTCTGATTATATTTGTTTTATATTTAATTGGCTACAGTCCCACAAAGTAAGGTTATTGTTCTGTAAGCTACAATTATAATTTGCTATAGTGTCTGTGGCAAGACAAATGGCAGCATGGAGAAGTTTAACAGCCATAATAGTTTGATTTGTGTAGGCATGGACTTAAGCATCAGTTTTATGAGTTTCTTTGGAGAGAAAACTTGGGTAGGTTACTTGAATTCTGACTTATGCTCTTAAAATGAAATGAATAACAAGAAAAATGATTAGGGATTTGGCACCCTATTCTAAACTCAAAGTAGACAGTTGTATGCATAAAATGAACACATTCTAATTTTTTTTTGATGATATGCCATTCTAAAATTTTTGAGAACAAAAATCAGTTGTTAGTTTCTTTATTAAATGAATAAATAAGCAACTGGGGTTCTTCCATGCCAATTGCAGGATAGTTTCAGAAAAATATTATTATAGCTTCTATTAATACCACACTCCTAGTAAAAACACCTGGAACATCCTTCTCTAAGGCAACTTTCTATGATCGAAATTTTCTCTGAGTGTAGACTTTATGAAAAATTTGATAGACATTGTACTCTGGTTCATAATTTTCTTTTAGATAATTTCACTAATGTTTAAAATCATTTTCTTGTCAAAGAATCTGTACCTTCTTCTTTAGTTAGATCGTAGAGAATTTTCCTAAAGGAAGTTTGATAAAAACATCCTACCATTATGTTCAAATACTCACAGCAAAACACTACAAAGAAAATATGAATACTCTTGACAAAAACACATACCTTACCTGCTCAGATTACAATATTTGTGTCTAGCTAAGTCTTTTAAAACAGAGGTTGTCAACCTATGGGTCGCAAACCCTTTATTAAAGCCCTATGTCTAAAAATGTTTTACAATTCAATACAATAGTAAAATTTCAGTTATGCATTCACAACAAAAAATATTTTTGTTATTGTGGGTCACCACTTCACAATGAACTGTATTAAAGGGTTGTAGCACAAGGAAGGTCAAGAACCACTATTTTGGAAATGCATGCCACTTTTCCAAAATGCTCATAGTTAATAACTCAAATTAACTTCCAAGTGTTAGAAATTTGGGAACTCTTGCCTAGAAAATAGAGAAACGTTTGGAAACAAGATTAGGGAGTATATAGATTATAAAAACATCAGAGACTGTTACTAATATACAAAAATCATAATCCTGATATATATGTCATCTATGCCATTTATATATATATTGTCATTTTGTCTGCTGAAGTCAATCACTAAATTTAAGGATTGTCATCAGGTATAAATTTTCCTCTCCCTCTATACATATTTTTGCTTGTTTATCATTATGGATTTTCAAGTCACCTGATTCAAGGTCAAATTATGTGACTATATTTTTTCTGAATTATTATGAAAACTTTTATAGCTTCTTATCACAGAATAGAGAAGACCATACAATGTTGATTGAGGTAGATCTGCTCAAAGACTATAGATATTAAACATATGCGTGTGTGCACACACACATACACACACACACACACACACACACACACACACACACACACACACAAAGCTTTAAAGAGATAGGGCATTTACAATGTATGGTTGGTAATTTACTTTTCATAATCTGACTAATCAGATTTCAATTTCAACAGTACCTCAAAGGTGTCAAGAAAACACTTTTCTCTACATGAGATTGCTATTATCCTTTGATGCCTCATATCATTCAATGACTACATAAAAGAAGATGCAATGGCAGGTAAAATATGTAAATAGAGATTTTGTTCTGAGGCACTTACTTGTGCTGATGAGCTCAGATTTGCTACTCTTGGGGGCTGGCCTCTCACACTGTGTACCTGACCAATTAGTAGAGCACCTAGAAAGAGCCAAACAACAACAAAAGCAACAAGAAATCAATAAATAACATAAAACACAGCCCGTTAATACAGCGACTTCAAATAAAGCCAATTTTGAAAGAAGAGCCAGGCTAAGACAAACTACTCATTTGTCATGATCAAGGACTTTCTGACTAATTAGTTTTACATTTTCAGTATACTGCAGGTAACTTCAACTGGGTAGCATTTGTTGAGATATGTCAAAGAAAACATATCAAGCAGTTACTCCACTAATACAGAGTGTTCAAACTAAACAGAACCTTTCTCTCTTTTTTAAAGTAAGTTTCTCTTTTTTGTTCATCTATTGTGTAAAGTCCAAGGTGTAACTAACAACAAGACCTCAAGGTGTTGGCTTTTGAATAACTATAGGTAGAGATATATAAAAGTAATCAGAGATAGGAAAACATAGTATATTCCTTTGTTAGATAATATTTTTATTAGTAGCACAAATGAATGTGCTCAAGATTTCATAGAGAGAAATTGTTTCCCTAAATTGTTACCACAATAGTCTAGAGGAGAATGAGAGGGTTACCCTTGATAAATATTTGTTCTTAACACAAAGCAAAAGTATCTAACTAGGTGATGCCAACATATAAATGTGAGTTGTTTTCTCTAAGTGTGAATAATGTTACCTGGCTAACACACATTCCTCTGTGAGTCTGTCAGCATCAAACAGAACAGAAACAGTATCACCCTATTAGAATAGTTGTACACTATGTAAAAAAGCTTTCCAGACCAAGTGTAATATTCAATAATTAACTGCAATACAACACTTCCATCGCAATTAATTCATATGAATAATTTTATTTTCCAAACTAGGCTTATATCATATCATGTGCATTAAACAGTATTGGCTCTCATAAACCTTGGTCACATCCAATAAAACCATCATACAAGTAAATTCATTCCACAAAAAAAAAAACTGGTTTCTAACTAAGTAAGGAATAACCAGTACAATTTACAGTATTAATTTCTTTGAAGTATATAGTTACTTGATTAATAATGATAACATTAAATCATGAGCATGAAACATGGTTCAAATGGAATTTAATATCATTATTTATGTTATGATTCAAGCAATTTCTAAGATTTGTTTGGAGATACCTCATAGAAGTCTTACTTAAATTTTAATTTTCTACTCGTAGTATTTTTATAGGACTAAATTATATGTAAATAATTCAAGCAGATATGTTAAAATCAAGGTCTGTGGATCTTTTAATGAGACAATCAGAGTAATGCAAAGGCACACAAATTTAGGGTAAAAAGAAAAAAAATAAGTGAAATTCTTAGTTGTGGAGAACATTTTGTTATTTCACATATATGCTTTTATAAATGTTTGACCTAGAAAAGCAACACTTACAACTATTCACAGGTTCTAATTCTCAACACACTTCACAGATAACTTCAAATAAGATGGTTGAGGACATTTTGAGAAAATATTCTTGAAGCAAAATCTAATTGTTGCAAAATTCTTTTCATTTTATGTAACTTCACTTCTGTTAAATCTCTCTACTTGAGCACAGAGAATGTTTTGCATGTATCATTGATAAATTATATATTGAGTTGTTTTTCAAACTACCAAAATTTACTCTTTATGTGACCTGACTTTTGAAAATGGAAAAAGGTTCATCTTAAAATATGAGAATAACATCTGTTATATTTTATGGTCCTGAGAGAGCACCAGTTTTCAACCTGTGAGTCACAACCACTTTGGAGGTTGAGCAACCCTTTTCATAGGGGTCACATATCAGATATCCTGTGTATCATATATTTACATCACAATTCTTTTCACCAACAAATTTATAATTATAAAGTAACCACCAAAAATAATTGTTATGGTTGGGTTCACCACAACATGAGAAATTGTGTTAAAGTATCAGGTCATTTAGTAAAGTTGGAAACTACTGATCTAGACATAAAAATCTCTGAGGTCATCATTATACTGAAATGAGTAAAATGACAAAGTGAAATTACCTGGGAAGTTGTGGATCAAATGCTAATTGAGCAGATTATGTTCCGACATGAACACAAAGTATCTTGTACTATTCATGGTGCAGGAAAATATGCTTTAGAGCCTAAGGCCAGCAGAGAGTGTGAAACAGACTATGGAGATAAGAACAGTAGGAACCTAATGAAAAGCCTTCAGTTCTTTAATTAGGGCAGTTGGTATGTGTTAACAATGTGGTCTAATTTTCCAATTCATCCATGGCTTTAAGCCTGGCACTTATTTCAGGTAATGAAGTCATGTGCTGGTGTTCTTTAGATCTCTCACTTTTAAATGTTGGGGCATGTTTAAAGTTCCAAATTTTTAGGTAATAGTTGACTTATTTTATGTGGGGATAACTTTCAGAGATTATACTAAAAACTAATTATTTTTAATAGTAATGCATCTTAATCACTGATGCCAAACTTGCAATTTCCCTATATTTCTTATAAAGTAGTGTTTTATATCCAAAGATAAAATAGGATATGTTTCACTGTCTTCCTTTGTTCCAGACTTGAAAATAGTCTCTTTGAGATATTAAATCAAATAGAACTCATTATTCTTGTTGCCTACCTTACAAAACTACAACCTAAGACATTTGCTGCTCTAAAAGTTTCTCTTCCAATGGGTGATTTAAAATCAAGCATTTCAAAACCATCTTTATAGAATTTAATAAATCTTCATATCTAAGTAGAACACAATGATCAAGGCCATTAATGGCCCAGCACTGAGTGAATGGAATGTGCAGATCATCAAAATTTCCTGACCAATTCCTCACTGTATTCTTTGCATAATCATACTGATTATAATTTCTCTAGCATCCCTTTTCCCCTTTCTTTATTCATAAAAACGTCCTCATCCAAACTTTAGCCATTTTTGAATCTATAATACTAGAATTCACTGATTCCTCTGTTCATCTGAGAATAAACATCTACAAGTTAGACTCCCTATCACAAACACCTAATGTCATTCATTTAAGAACTGTCCTGTAGGTATTTTCAGAGTGCATAAGCATGAAGCATAGATGATAGGTTTTATATTAACATTTTACCACTCTGAATTATTGATTAAACCATGCAAATTTTAATTAAATATTGTTGGGTTAGAGACAGGTATATTTTTCAGTATTTAGCCAAATAATAATACACACATATTTAATTTTTCCATCATCATCATTTTCATCTTTTTGTGCAGGTACTAGTTTCTGATATAGAGTTGCTGATTTACCTTTCTTTGGCATTACTTCTTATATAGAACAACTTTTGAGAAATACAAAATTAATCTAGTTATGCATTGATTTCTTAATTTTACTCTTTCATGTTTATGAACCATAAGCACAAAATCCTTTTTGTAAAATTTCTAAAGTGTCCTAAATTAAAATAATTATGAAACAGAACTTTTCTTGAAACTTCAGATTCTGGGTACTTAAATTTCATAGAACTCACCAGTTATCTAGAAATGATGACTGGGGATCCACAAGATAGTTAAGTTAATCTGATAATACATAACATGCTTCATATATATTCATATATATTCATATAATTCTTATACACAGTATGTTTTATTGTATGTTTTACTTAATGGTTTTTTATTGTTAATATCAAAACAATAATATGCAAGCCCAACATGAACGCTCAAAAGTAGGTGACTATCAGTCCTTTTCATAGTATCTGACAAAAACCAAATTGAGTAATTTTCACTACATACAAGTTAATGAAGTAATCAAGAAATTCCACATGTGCTATGTGGGTCTCAGTGCTCCTAAATCTTACTCAATAAAATTAGAAATATGACTACTTATAACATATCATAATTATAATAAATTATGTCATTTGAGAGATACTTAACTAAGTTCTAATAGGTTTTAATAATAAAAATTCTCTTTTTTTCCTTAAGCCTCTAAGCATTTTTTTTTTTTTTTTTTTTTTTTTGCTACTGTTTTACTTGCAGCCTCTCTGCAACAAACTCCACTGGCCTCATAATCCAGAGGCACTTTGGCTTCAAAAGCCACACAATTTAACTGCCCTAAACAGCCTGGTTTTGTCTTCAGGCACCTCCTGTTGCAAGTGCTTTGTCAGTACATTTTACAGGCAGCTTGCTCTCTCTCTCTCTCTCTCTCTCTCTCTCTCTCTCTCTCTCTCTCTCTCTCTCTCTCTCTCACACACTAGATGCCCTCTTCTCAGGCTGCCACTCTCAGCTCACAGCTGTGCTCAGCTGTGCACAGCAGTTCACCACAGCAGGGGTTGTCCTATCAGAGGTGCTATGCAGCTTTAAGCTCCACCATCTTTGTTGACAGATTTGGTGAGGAAATAAGAAATTTTTAAAGAGGGGAATAGTTAGGAGGGAGGAAAGAGGAGAGAGAGAGAGAGAGAGTTCTTCCCACCATAAAAAAAATGGGAAACATTATTGCAATGGAGAGACTTAGGTCTCTATATTTTAATACATAGGATCGTTTGAAAATGGAACTAAATGAGAGGATAACTAATTCAAATGGAACTTATGTAATGTTAATTATGAACATCATTAGTTTTAGCATTTTTGTTTTATCACTAAAGAGGTTGGTTAATATGAGCCCTAAGATACAAGTTTTAGACAATACCAATTCAGAATTCTAAATGAATACATTTTTAAAATTAAAATTTTAGGAATTCCTGTGCCAGTTCTTCATGCTTCATTTTCTGTACTGTAGTAGAGTGAAGGTATCAATAATCGTTTTCATATCAACCTGACACTTCAGTGAGATTTCATTTTGCCATAAGTTGTGTCGTCTGACATATTTTGTGGTTTTGATTTTTGTTTGTTTGTTTTTGAAACATTGTATCCAGCATTTCATCAGAAGGGTCTTGAATTTACTATAAAGAGTAGTTTAATTCTATTGATTAAATCTCTAAGGTTAAAATGTGTTAGTATAGGTAACATTTATGACATGCATTAAATTTGAAATTTTCCCTGTCCAGAGCTCTAATCTATACTCCTACTTCATCCCATCAGAGGTTT